GAAGCTTCTAGGACCCATGACTTCTTGTACCTATGTGGTGCAACATGACAGGCTCAGACTCCGGCCTCTCCAATTGTGGCTAGCCTCAATGTACTGGCCGGCTCAGGACAGTTTGGAAAGGGTCGTCACTCTGCCTCACCCGGTCCTCGACTCCCTCCAGTGGTGGCTTGACCTGCAGGTAGTGTGTGAAGGGATCCCCTTCACCGGTCCTCAGCCATCCCTCTCGCTAGTGACGGACACATCAGCCTTGGGCTGGGGAGCACATCTGGGAGATCTCAGGACACAAAGCCTCTGGTCTCAGGCGGAACTTGCTCTCCACATCAATGTCAGAGAGCTGAGAGGGGTGCGCCTGGCATGCCAGGCTTTCCGAGCTCACTTGACAGGGAGATGTGTATCAGTCATGACAGACAACACCACAGCGATGTTCTATATCAACAGAGGGGTGCACGCTCCTCTCCCCTGTGCCAGGAAGCCCTCATGCTGTGGGACTTTTATGTAGCTGATTCGATACATCTGCAAGCATCATACCTCTTGGGAGTACAGAACGAGTTGGCGGACCATCTCAGCAGGTCTTTTCATGGCCATGAGTGGTCCCTACACCCGGACATCGCAAACTCCATCTTCCAATGATAGGGTTTTCCCCAGATGGACCTGTTTGATACGTGACGCAACGGGAAGTGCCAGCAGTTCGCTCCTTCCTGAATCACAGCCCGGGCTCCACTGCAGACACGTTCCTACTCCCGTGGGGAGGCCATCTCCTATACACGTTTCTGCCTAGCCCTCTCGTTCACAAGGTGCTCGATACGCAGGGAAGAAGCTTCAGTGATATTGATAGTTCCAGCCTGGCCCCGCCAACACTGGTACACATCTCTCCTGAAAATATCCGTGGAAGCCCCAGTTACCTTGCCATTCCTCCTGGACTTAATAACTCAATATCATGGCAGTCTCCAGCACCCAAACTTCGAGTTGTTGCACCTCATGGCTGAACCCCACAGAGCTCTACTGCTCAGATCCGGTTAGACAAGTCCTCCTGGGCAGTAGGAAACCCTCCACCAAGGCTACCTACCTTGCCAAGTGGAAAAGACTCTCAATCTGGTCGGTGCAGCATCACTCGTCCCCGACACTCGCCTCCATAACACCCATACTGGGCTACCTTCTCCACTGCAAGCAGCAGGGACTGTCCATGTCATCAATAAGGGTTCACTTGGCCACCATCTCTGCCTTCCATCCAGGCTCAGAGGGCCGGTTGGTATTTGCCAACCCTATGGTCAGCCGTTTCCTGAAATGTCTCGACAGGCTATATCCGCACATCTGGCCCCGAACTGGGACCTCAATCTGGTCCTTTCCAAATTGACGGGTTCGCCCTTCGAACCGCTGGCGACTTGTTCCCTGCTCTACCTAGCATACAAGGTTACATTTCTGGTAGTGATAACCTCAGCCAGGAGGTGTCTGAGCTCAAGGCCCTAACATCAGAGCCCCCTTACACTGTGTTCTATAAGGACAAGTTTCAGCTCTGGCCACATCCAGCTTTCCTCCCGAAGGTTGTCTCCCGCTTTCACATCAACCAGGACATCTTCCTCCCAGTGTTCTATCCTAAGCCACACTCGAGCGGCAGAGAGCAGAGGCTTCACTCATTGGACATCCGCAGAATGCTAGCCTTTTACATTGAAAGAATGAAACTATTTAGGAAGTCCATTCAACTGTTTGTGGCTGTGGCAGACAGGATGAAGGGTCTTCCAATCTCCCCGCAATGAATTTCCTCGTGGATCACATCCTGCATCCGTGAATGCTATAACCTGGCAGAGGTGCCTGCCCCTCTGCTCACTGCACACTCCACCAGGGCACAAGCTTCTTCAGCAGCGTTCCTGGCACAAGTCCCGACCCAGGAAATATGCAGAGCGGCGACGTGGTCCTCCATACATACTTTCAGTGCACATTATGCTATTACCCAGCAGGCCAGAGACGATGCAGTCTTCGGTAGAGCTGTGCTCCAATCAGTGGAAGACGCCAACCCCACCTCCAGAACTTAGGCTTGGGAGTCACCTTCTCGTAACTGTTGTTCTTCGGGATGTGTTGTTCATGTCCATTCCAATACCCACCCTCCTACCCCTCTGTCCGAGTAGCTGGCAAGAAGGAACTGAGGGGATGGCAGGTCGGTAGGGCCCTGTATTGAGCACCATGATGGCACCACTCCAGGTGGCGCCCGGACCAACCCACACACCTGATTGGAATGGACATGAAAAACACATCTCGAAGGACAACAGTTATGAGAAGGTGAGAAAACGGTTGTTTGGTTTTTTTGCAAAGCTTGTGTCCAGAAGAGTATCTTGACTGATTCCTTAACATTACAAGGCTGTGCTTCCAGCTACGGCTGCACATCTGCAAGGAAATCTAGAAGAGGAAGGCAGGTGCCAGCCTTGGGAAATGCTGGAAACCTGGCAGTTCCAACTTCCCATCACAGTCAGTGGATGTATTGCATTACCAGCCAAGTATGTGGATGAGTGACAGCTATGCTATGCTCTGTACATTTGGCTATGCTCAGGCAGGAGTAATCCCCGCTCAGAAATACGGTACTCCTCTTTGCTGGTGTAGTAACAACAGTGTACAAGAGATGGTTTCAGAGAGCAGAAGCGGGTCACAACTAGCTGGCCCAGGCCATCACAATGCCATACAGGTGGGAAATTTGGGCTTTTTCCAACCTTCTGGGGGAATTGGAGCAGGGGAATGAATCCACATGAACCTGCAGCTCTCTATTCTCCTGGCAGTGGGGCCTCAACTCAGTCTCTTTATTCATCTAGATCTGTACTGTAATGAGCCCCCTGCACATTGATGTCATTGTTCAGATGTAAAATCCCAACTGTGCCCTGAAATCAGGATCACAGGATGTTGGGCCGTGAAATGTGTTAATAAGAAAACATGCAACCTCCAGCCCAATACTGCATTTCATGGAAAACACTTCAGATTAAGTGACAAAAATAGACATGGACTGAAAGGAACTGGTGACGGTCAGGAACAGATGCAGTTCTCCGACTCGGCAGCACGGCACAACGACTCATCGAAAGCATTGTTCCAGCAGGGCAGATGGAGCCAACAAATGGCCAGATCTACAGTATGTATGTTTCACCGTAAACAAAATTCCACCCGCTGCCCAGTAAAGTTCACAAAGCCTACCTGGCATGTCTGTTTTTCGTTTACATAACGACTTTCTAACTGTGCCACTTAGAAGCCGAGGCTCATTGCTAAACTGAACAGATGTCATCATGCTCTCTGTTTGTCATACACATTCAGCATTCCCAGTTGCCGTTTATAGCTAAGAGTGATCTGTGCTCACTGCTTAGCTGATTTGGAAACATTTGCCTGAGGTCAGCTTACCAAAAAAAAATAAAAAAAAATAGAACTTACATTACCTCACACGGCACTTTGAAGACCATCTGTTCTTCCAAGGAGCCCTGAAGCAAGCTTCCTCCTGCCTCCTGTCTCAGCTGGGACACATCCAGACACGGGGCCACTTGATTCAGAGATGGAGTAGTATGCTGAAAGGGCTGCTTGGTGTTTGGTTGTACAGAGTCCAGCAAGTCTGTTTCTTGGACGTTTTTGCATGAGGAGATGCAAGGAGTCCCTGATGCATTTCCCATTAGGAGGGAGTGCCGCATCTCAGAGCTCAGTTCCAGGGTCCTGCTAGGAGGCTCAACTCTCTTCTGGTTTAAATTCCCAGGCAGTTCACTTTCCTTTTTGGTTAACTTTGTACCTATGGCCTCATTCCCCTCCAGTTCCTGTTCCACAGGTTGGCCTTTCTGCTCCTTTCCTGCCACAGCCCCTACCAGGAACACCTCAGATGCTGGGGGAGGAGTTTCTCTTTGCCTGTTAATGTTCACAGCCGGAGACTGCAGCTGAGCCCCATTCTTGGCTTCTTCTGGGGCTTGTGGCATCTTCTCTTCCATTACATGTTTTGCTCCACTCTCAAGATACATCTCTGTCAAGGAGAAGTAAGTGTCACCCCTGGAAGGCAGGGAACATGGCTGAGGTTTGCCAGTTTCAGCATCCTGACTGCTGGGCGTTCCGAGTTCTTTGACTTCTGGAACGTCTCCCACCAGCTGGCTGATTGCAGCTACTGACTGCATGCTCCCTGGCAGGGCAACAGAAGGGGCATTTCTTTGACTTTGGGAGAGATTTTGGCTCTCTATCAGCCCATTTTCTTGACTTGAAACTTCCTGTTTTGCTGCCAAGAGAGCAGCAGGCTCTTCCCCCTTCTTTTTCTTCTTTTTAGCAAAGGACTCTCTGGTGGTGGGCTTGGTAGTTATTTCCTCCACCGTCTCATAGATGTATGTGAAAAAGCTATTTCCATTTTCCTCCCCACTTTCCATAGAGGAGTCTCCATTGGTGGTCACCTCTGCATCCAGAGGCCTTGTTAGGAAGTTGTTTGAAAATCCAGCGGTTGCATTTAAGGATGGCTCCTTGGGCTCAGCAACATCTTCCCGTAACCTTGACTTAGGATCCGCAACATGCACCTTTGCTACATCTTCCTTCTCCCATAGGGAGACACCTGAACGCAGGTTCAGATCCCCAGTCAGCCGGCGCTTTCGCTGGAATCTCTCAGGACTTGTCCTCAGCTTCTCCACCTCCATGTTTTCTTTCCCTTGTTTTCGGCTCTGCTCTATTTCATGCAACTTGGCTTCAGCCTTTTGCTTGAGTTTGGCAAACCACCTCTGATGTATTTTATACTCCGTCATGGTTCCCACTTCCAGGACACCGGAACAGGACACGATGCCTTTGGTATTCCTAGCAGAGGCCTGGTAAATGGCCGCATCATCCTCTCTGCATCTGGTGACCAAAAACAACATTGTGAAACACACCTGTCCCCCTCAAGGCACTTTTTGCACACGCATGAACACACCCACACACACACGTCAGTGACAGCAGTCCTTTCTACAACTGGTCAAAGAGTAGCCACCAGGTACAACACTCAGAAAACTGGGGATATTTTGGTATCACCATTATTTTCAAGTCTGTTCGCAATATAAAAATACTGGTCAGGTGAACAAATGGCTGCCTATGGAGATAGCTCAGGGTATACAGGACTGGTTGACATCTGAGCTTGCAGTTGGTCACGGAGGAGTTGTATACATGTATTTAATGTTGAACATGGGTGTTCAGCTGAACCCTGCACAGCAGTCTCGGAGCTTTATGATGTCACAAATACTAAAGGGCTCAAATCAGGCAGAGTCTAACCAAAACCCAAGTGCTTGTGAAACTTCCATAAATCTGTCAAGGTAAAAAGACTAAGAAAAATCCATACTGAGAAGTGGTGACTGTTTGGCTGAAGTGAGAGTTACGCTCAAACTTTGAGCTTTCCTGGCCAAATGAGGCATTCCCTATGGCTCTTAGCCACAGCTGGCTGGAGGGTGCTGCCCAAGCACAGGTACCTAGAGGCACTGATTCACCAGCTCCAGTGGTGCAGCCATGCATTCCCACTTCTGTGCATTCGCCTGTAGTCTGTGGTGCAAGGTTTGAAGCTATAGTTGCTCAGATGCCCAGCTGGGTCTGGAGCGCTACAGTCAGTGCCGGCCTACTTTCCCCACACCCAACGCTCCCAGAGCACTAGCAACAAGAGGATGGATGGCTTCCCCTGGAGCAAGAGACTCCCTAACATATGCAAGGCAGCCACAATATGATCCTCCGTTTCCACATGCAAGAGGCATAGGCTGAAATATTGGCATTGGCCTAAACTGGAGAGGACTGTGGTGAAGAAGGAACAGCTAGCACCAAGAATTCCATTGATTCCATCCTGATCGAGTGAATCCCTGGGCAGGATTCTTCTCTCAGGCTCTGACGTGCTCCATCTAACTCTGCTTCTTGAATTTCCTCCCCCAGCCTTCCCTTCTGTCACAGGAAACCAGTCTAATGAGATCACTTCTCCGACTCCACCTCACCTCACATGCCTATGCCCAGTAGCTGTTTGAGACACACCTCGACCAGTTGTAACAAATGGGGCCTAGCAGGCCAACTTTATTTATGAACCTCACCGTGGGAAAGTGGATAAAAGTTCATAAAAGGTTCCGGTCACCTATAATTACCAAATGGCCTCCTGATGTATCAAGGACTGTTCAAATCATGTCTGATAAACCAGAAGAGGGTGGGACTGTAAATCTATGAGCCAAACTTAGTGCATTGGAAATGAGGGTTAAGGGAGGGGTAAAATAATGAGGGAATGGGCTATTCTACCCATCGCTCCCTTTGGGGGAGGGGGTTCTTAAAATTAATCAGCTGGCTGGCTGAGAGATGGGTAAACAGGAAAGGAGTGAACTTCATCATCACGGCTGCCATCCCCACCATCTCCTGGGATCCACCATGACACTGCTGGGCTTCTGTTAGCCTGATCATGACAGATGCCTTCAACAGACTGGGCCAGAAGGACCCAGATGGACGTCACCACCTCCTCCAGCTAAATCCTGAACACTGCCTAGTTCCTGCCATCACCCCTTCCCCTGTGTCTCCTTTTCCTTCTCCACTTTATTTCTTATCCCTCCTATCCCTGCAGCCCCGATTCTGGCTCTTCTTAGATATCCTGTTACGTTTTTGGCTGCACTTTTCCCCTCACCTCCTTATCTATGCATTCCCCATCCATGGCCCCAAAAAGTCACAGGACCTCCTGGTCAACCTCCTCCTAGCCCTGGCCAAAATGGCCATCTATAAAACCAGGGAGAGGAGGTTGGCTGATGGGGTCTCCTGTAACTGTGGGGCCTATTTCCGATCCTCCGTCTGCTCACGCATCCAGGCAGATTTCCTCTGGGCGGCGTCCACTGGCTCCCTTGATGCCTTTGAGGAGCAGTGGGCTCTGTCCGGGATTCTCTGCTCGGTCTCCCGTCCCTGTTATCTCATTAGTTGTCCCTCGGAATCATTTGGTTTCCAGGCTCCGTGGATACTCCCCTCAGGCTGGGGAAGGTCCTTTAGCAGTGGGCAGGCTTCCGCCCACTCACTTCCTGGATCCCAATAGGATCCCTATCCTTTTGCCTTCTAACGAGAGTCTAGCTCAGCCGGCCAAGACTGTACAAGTTTTAACACTGCTGTGAGTCTATGGCAGAGAGGCAATGCCCTACACCAGAGGTTCTCAGCTTGGGGGTGTGGATGTCAGACTTTCTAGGTGCGTGTGGTGAGCCAAGCCAGTTTAAGAGAATGGCATTGCAACCTGGCGTGCAGGGTCACAACACCACTCAGAGCTGGCCCATCTGTCCCTCTGTTGTGATGGAGGGGCAGCATAGGTAATGGTGGCTAGGGCTGGAGGTTGCTCAGCTCCCCCAAATCTAAGCCACCCCGCTTCCCACATGCATAGCCCAGTGCGGCAGGCAAAGCCCACCTCCAGCGGTGCCAGGGCCAGCACAGTGCTAAGCTGCCCAGTGGCAGGATGAGCAGGGAGAGTCCCCAGAGCCCAGTGGCGGGCATCAGTGGGAACCCCACATAGTGCTGTGAACAGAGTCCACCTGGAGCCCAGCAAACCAGCCCCATCCCTGTTGTGGCAGCGGCAAGTCCATCCCTTACAAGTGCCTGCGAGCACAGGGGGAGAAGAGAAGAGGAGATGGGGAATGGCTGTGGAGGAGGGAGCCAGCCAGAGCTAGCTGTGGCCACCGACACAACCACACAGCTCCCTGCACTCCCTGCACCCCCACAACATCACTAACAGCCCCCAAACCTGTCCCTCCCACATCTCCCATCCAATCCCCAAATAACCCCCCCAGCCCGTGCTTAAACCCAATTAAAAAATAATGCCAAGGTGGGACAGGAATTCAAAAAATGGTTATGAACCCCTGTTCAAAACAGGCAGATGCTGGCACAAGTTTGCCAGGTCTCGGAGTGGCTGATCAGACTGTGTGCTGGGCCTGTATTTCTCCACCAGTGAGGTTACAAGTACAAGCCAGCCCTACAGACAGAAGCTGCATTCTCTCTCTTTGCCGTTCTTTTCTCTCCTCTTTCGTGTGTTTGTAGTGATTTGTCTTCTAGGAAGTAAGATCGGACTTCAACCACAACAGCTACGACAGATCCAGCCATTTCAACAAACTTCTTCTCTTCCCCCACCTCCCCCCAAAGGGCAGTTACTACCTTTAATACCATCAGACAGGGATTGGTGTCCTAAAACTTCTCTACAGCTAAAGGGAATAAAGAATATCATTAAAATGAAGGGCCTACTTGATACTTTACCTTTCAAATTTATCTCACTGTCCCCCCTCCCCTTTTTTTCTGTTTCTTTAACAACAGGGTAAAAGGATTTGTGATGGGCTAAGCAGGTGGAGGTCTCTGTATTCCATAACCCTGAGCCTTATTTAATTGTTTAATGCTGTACAGTGAAAAGGTTGTGTGAACACCTCTGACTCTCTGGGCCCACATATTCCATCAAGATTAACACAACAGATGCTACTACGCAATCTCTCTGCCATCACAGGTCTAGGGCTCCTCTCAGACAGAGATCCATAAGGCTTGCTGCTTCTGCGAGATGACTGTGACTGTGGTTCTTCGAGATGTGATGCAGACATGTTTCCACTTAGCTGTGTGCACACCCAGCATGCTGGAGACGGAGAGTTTTGCCTAGCAGTACTTGTAGGAGATGGTACTCATGCTTCATGGCCAAAGACCCTCCCCTGGCTATATGGGGTAGTGCCACTCTGACACTGCTTGGCTCTTTCTCACTGAACGCCCAGAGACGAGACTCTGATGTTTTTGTCTTCGAGCAGATGCAGCCATGTATTCTACATAGGTGGCTCACAAGCCGTACCCCCTCCACCCCTGGAGGTGGGACTCTATCTAAACAAGGACTGCAGGACCACTCTATGAAAACTTGCATCTGCCCTGGAAGCTGCAATGATGGCGTAATGGTTCGTAAATGTGTGGACGCCCACGTAGCAACCCTGCAACATGTCCAGGATTGGGACATCCCAGAGGAACGCTATTGACATTGCACTCTCGCAGAATGAGCTTGCGCCCGCTGAGGGAGCGTAGCCAAAGCTATTTCATACACAGGCTTAATACAGGAGGTTATCCATTTAGAGATCATCTGCGAAGAGACCTCCTGTCCCTTCATATGGTCTGCATATGGCACAAACAGATGAAGCGAAGCACAAAACAGTTTAGTCCTGTCCAGGTAAAAGGCCAGACATTGCCTGACATCTAACATATGAAGACACTGCTCCTCCAGAGATGAATGTGGCTTAGGAAAAAAAGGCATGGGTAAACATACCGCCTGGTTCAAATGAAACTGAGAAACCACTTTAAGCAACATTTTGGGTATGGTCATAAAGTCACTTTGTCCTTGGAGAATTGTATATAAGGAGGCTCTGCCATCGGAGCCTGAAACTCACAACTCCCCCAGCAGATGTTATCACGACCAGGAGTGCAGCCTTCTGACCCAAAAGCAGAAAGGGACAAGATGCTTGGGGCTCGAACAGAGGTCCCATCAAAGCCACTAAGACTGTGTTAAGGTCCCACAAAGGGACTGGCTCTCAGTCTGGAAGACAGAGACCAAGAAGCCCTTTTAAGAATCTTGCTACTATGGCATTGGAGAAGACTGATCTTCCCTGGATGGGGGGATTAAACACTGATATCGCCACCAGGTGAACCCTCAATGAACTAAGCGCAAGTCCAGATGACTGATGGTGCAGCAGATACTCCAAGAAGTCTTGGACAGAAGCCTCTGAACATTGCTCTTTCTCCTCACTCAGCCATGCAGCAGCCACGCCTCGAGATGCAGAGAAGTGAGCACGGAAGGCAAGTGATTCTGAGTGAGTAGGGAGGAAGAGGAAGCGATATGGGAGGCTGAATGGACAATGCAAGAAGGTGGGAGAATCAGCAGGGCCTCAGCAGTTCCTGGGCAATGAGAATGAGCTTGGCCCAATCTGCCTTCAACTTAAAGATGACATGTGGGATGGCTGGGGGAAAAGTGTACAGGAGAGCTGACTGCCAGCTGAAAGTGTCGGACAGGGAGCCCAATCTGAGGCCCTCTCGAGAGCAGAACAGATTGCATTTCCTATTGTCCCTCATAGCAAATGGGTCAATCATTGGGATCCTCTCAGCTGCGAAGATGACCTAGAGGTTGCTTGTCTTCAGAGACCATTCGTGACTGAGGGAAAAATTCCTGCTGAGATGGTCCACAAAATGATTCTAGACCTCTGGCAAATGGTTAGCTATTGAGTAATGTTCTCCTCAATGCAGAACTGCCACAACCTGATCACCTCTAGGCAGAGCATCCTGGAGCGTGCTTCCTCTTGCTTGTTCACATAATATATCACAGTGGTATTATCGGCAAGTATGTGAACCACTCCTTGATATGGTCCACAAAAGCGGGACACACATTGTAGACCTGATCACAGACCTTGGACTTTCAGTGACCCCAGGTGTGCTCCCCAACCCATCAGGGAGGTGCCAGCGACAACAGACCTGGCTGGCAAGGGCTGGATTGTCTGGACGCATCCATCACTGCCAGGAGACCAGGACGAGTTGAGGAAGACGGACCAATCTGTCCAAGGGGTGAAGAGTCAGACGATAAACCATCCTGAGCAACATTTGAAGGGGATGAAGGTGTACCTTGCAAACTGGACCACCTGTGTGCAAGCAGACATGTGGTCCAAGAGCCTCTGGCATATGCAAACGGTTGTGGTAGGCTGAGACTGTAGACTGAAGCAAAGGTGGCAAATCTCCTGAAAACGGTCAATTGGGAGAAACGCTTGAATCTGTTAGGACCCCAAGGAACTCGATTTTCTGAGTGGGAACCAAAGCTGACTTCTCGTATTTAGGCTGAGACCCAGATGGTCGAGCAAGCATAATGTAGTGTTGATATGATCAAGAATTTCCTCTCTGGATCTATCCCACAGTAACCAGTTCTCCAGATACGGGAAGATGTGGATTCCTTTCTTCCTAAGATACGCCATCATGATGACCTTGCATTTGGGAAAAAACCCAGGGGGCAGAAGAGAGGCTGAATAGAAGCACCGTGTACTGAAAATGACGCACCGCCAGGACAAACTGAAGGAATTTTCTGTGACCCAGCAAAATCGCCACATGACAGTAGATATCCTACAGGTTCAGAGCAGCAAGCCAGTTGTTTTGAGACAACGTGGGGAGAATAGTCGACAAAGTCACCATTCAGAACCTCATGTATCTCTCAGATTTGTTAAGGCCACAAAGATTGAGAATGGGTCTTATCCCTTCCTTGGATTTGGGCACCAGAAAGTACCAGGAGCAGAAACCATGACCCTAGTGTTCTGGTAGAACCTCCTCCACCGCGCCTAAAACCAGCAGAAAATGGACTTGATCAAGGAGTAGTATCTCATGAGAGGGGTCCCTGAAAAGGGGTGGGGAGGGTGACCTCCAATCTGACGAGGGCCTCAGTGCCAAGGCAGGCCGCATGGCCCGTTCGAGCAGGTGCTGCTTCAGACGAAGATCCCTCGCCACTTGAGTCCATTTGGTGAACAATTTGCAAATCAAATCTTGCTCCTTGATATGGGCCTTGCCTTAACATAGCAAACACGGCATGTGGGGATCATTGCTGGGGATCGCTCCCCCACACGACGGACAATGTTTGAAGCCTAGGGAGGATATCACCAGGGAAACAAAAACTACAGCTAACTAACTAACACTAATTAACTACATACAACCAGAAAAGTCACTAAATAGAGGATTGTGAGGTAAAAACCACACAGAGCTGCAACTCGAATCCTGGGCGGTAAGAAGGAACTGACGGGGATACGAGCAGTGCCACCTCGTATAGCTTGGGGAGGAGCTATGGCCATGAGGCACAACTGCCACCCCTCTGTGGGTACTTCCGGCAAAATTCTCTGGCTCCAGCATGCTGGGTGCGCACACACCCAAGTGGAATACACAGCTGCACCTACTCAGGGAAGAAGTTCACATGTTTACTGTTTCCTGGTTTATACCAGTGTGTCAGTGGGAAGTCAATGTATGCCAGTGTAGCAGAGCTGAATCTCCACCGGTAAACTTCACAACATGAGCTATGAACTTTAGGGAGAACACATGCTGGTGCCACCCTTAAACACTGTCCTATCTCCCGTATTCTCTCTTGTCTCCAAAACCTAGGACTCAAATTGGGCTGGGATGTACTGAATCAGAACACTGAAGCTGCCAGCTAGAATCTCAGCTTTCATTTTAAAAGTGAGTTAGTTTCTACCCTGGTGGTTGTGAAGAAAACCTTGAAAATGTGACCTGAGCACAACCAATGCAGCAACAGCTGCCTCAGTATGCAGAGAGCCTGAAACAATGGCTCTAAGAGGTGTGACCTGCCCCATGCATCGCAGTAAGGTATTCACTCTCATGCCCAATTACAGTAATTTGAATGTCAACATTGTGAGTCCTTTCATTGCTGATCACAGTATGCCAGAAAGGAGAAGGGCAACCATATTATGAAGAGCTGCACAATCTGCTCAGAGAGTAATTTCATTTTCGTGTCACAAATGGGTGGCACCTGGGAGAATACCAGCACTTTCCTCCTACTAACCTGCTGTGTGGACTAAAAATAGTTTTTAAATCACCATGTGACTGGGATATGGGGCCTAGCATATGCCAATACCGTAATCCAGCCCTGGCAATGGGAACAGCAGAGTCCACGTGACCATGATTTGACCATCTCTAGAGTCTATTGAGAACAGCGTCATACACTGGTGTCAAGCAGGTAGAACTTGGTTTGTAGGCAGAACTTGGGAAAACCCTGCTGTTTATTCTAACTTCCTCAACTTCCTCTGATCCAGCTCTCCTCCTGACCTCTTCCAATCTGGAGTCT